AAATAAAAAATAAATAAATAAAAATAAAAATTAAAAAAAAAAAAACAAAAAACGGGCACTGTGGCTCATGCCTGTAATCCCAACATTTAAAAAAATAATAATAATAATACTTGGTGCTTTCCAACACACTTTCACATATGGTATTACTTGTTTGATCCACCCCCTTCCCTGAAAATTTTGGGTGGTTTTATTGCTGGCATTTAACACGCAGGGCAATAGAGGTTCTGAAAGATCTGTGTCTTGTCAAAACAAGTGAATGGTGGAACTAAGACTAAACCCTGGGTCTCCTGCTCTCTCTTCACTGAATGGAGTGGTATTATGGGCCAGGATCTGGCTTGGCCTTCCCCTTGGACTTGCCTAGAGCACATACCAGGGCTCTGGGAGATGACCTTGTGCCCACAGGTCCAGGGCTCCACTGTACTGGACACCAGAAATGTTCCTATCTGTGCTCTGCCTGCCCTGGTCTGGGCCTTCTCCTGGGTCCAGAAGACCCTGCTGCTGATGGGTAGCCTCCTTCCACATCAGCTCCTGGCAACTGTGGAGCCAGAGGACTCCTGATAGGCACAGTGGCCCAGGCACCCCTCTTGCTTGCATTAGGGGATGGGGAAGGGAGAAACCCTCAGCAGCTGAGCCCCAGGTGCTCTCGGAGGAACTTATCCAGTTGCATGTGCAGCATTTGGGCAACTGCAGAACATCCCTCAAGAAGCCAGGCCAAAGGAAGGGTCTGGATGTTCTTGTGCTGGGTCAGGGAAGGCCAGCCTCCTTGGTGCCACAGAGGGCGAGGGCCAGGCTGGGATCTTCTGATCTCATGCCAGGGGAAGCAGAGTTCACAATAGCAGCAGGGTCTAAGTCTAATAAACATAAGGGCCCTCTGCCCTAAAGATATGAGGTGCACTGCCAAGAGTAGTGTCCCCAGCTCATAGGCTGTCATGGGGCCGCTGTGGGGGACTTGCATACCAGAAGGGGGCGGTGGGAGATTTCTGTCCTTCTGCCTGGATAGGTGACTTCTGCAGGTCCTCACTAGCCTGAGAAGCCGGGGCATCTTATTTGGAATAGTATTATCTGCTGGCTGCAATTCATGGGGCGGGGAGGCCATGGTCAGGCCCTCCCTCCCTCACCATCCCACTGCCAAGTGCCTCTGAGGCTGGGCTAACTCCTGACCTCCCAGTTGCCTTCTGTCCTTCCTCCCTGGGCCCAGCTCTTCCTCTGCAGGGGCCTCCCTGAGAACCACTTTGACCCTTCCCCCAAGCCTGGCCTCTCTGCCCATGGCCTGGAGCCAGGCAGGTGCTGAGGCTGCACAATGACTTTCCCTGGCTGGGTGGCACCCACTGTGTGGCAGGCCTGGGGCTGTCCCGGATACCCCTTGCAGCACAGCTGTTCCGAGTTTGGGTGATACGGGCTAAGGCAGGGCAGATGTGGCCTAGGCTGTTTGCAGGAATGTCCAGCTCTCAGGAAAACTGGGGAGAGGAAGTCCAGGGAAAAAAGCAGAGACGGAGGGACGCAAAGA